TATATATATATATATATATATATATATAGTAAGGATAACTTCCAACATCCCTTTTGTTGGAACTTTATGTCCATCTGCTGTCTGCATCAATCCTTCTTCTTTCTTCACCTCTGAAAACAATTGTCCATCTTTCATTAACAAATTAGGAAAAACAAATGTAGCTGCGTAAACAGTGTTAATCAGCATATTGCAAGGTTTTCCATCAATAAATGCATGGACTTGTGAATGATTTTACTCAAATAATGAACTTCATGGTAGATGGAGTATTTTCAGCTGAACTTCTACTCATGAATCCCACTAACTCTGTGTTGTTCTGTTGACCCAGATGGGCTCTGACTCCTTGACTCAATAACAGCTGTTGATTCTTTACAGTCTTGGCTGTAGTAGCCAGGTTTCCTAAAATTACCTATTTCTGGTATCCTTTAAGAACTTTTATTACATACAGGAATTTTCCTATAGTTCCTAGCAATATGTCCCTTCAAGTTACACTTGAAACACCTATTAACTAGTCTATTTTTTCCATTCTTTGTAAATAGATATGTCATTAATTTTTTCAGTTCTTCTATACTGTTAGAGAAATTTGATGTTTCAAGCCCACAGTATCTGATATCCTCATAACTTGTAGACTGTGCCTTTATTAGTTCATCTGCAAATTTAAAGGATTCAAGTTCCATCACCAACTGCAGAGCTTCCTTTAAAGACATACATAAACTTTACTTTAACCTAATCCTTATATCCTCATCTATTATACCATCTATAAATTGATTCCGTGACAACAAATCCATCATTTCACAATGGGCATCTGGGTAATATAACCGTATGAGCCTTTCTAAGTATTCTACAAATTCAGCTAGAGTCTTGTCTTTCCTTCATACCTTTTTCCAATACTTTTTCTCAATACTTCCTTCTGGTGTGAACCTGTTGGACAAGGCAGCTACCAATGCTTGGTAGTTGTTACAGCTCTCGGATGGAAGGTTACTTAATGTTTTCAAAGGCGGTCCTTTTAAATGGGCACCAAAATTGGTGGCTTGTTCTCTATTCCACCTGTTCATTCTTGAAGTGTGTATAAACTGAGTCTAGTATGACTTCCATGGTACTTTCCCATCACTGTACTTTGATTTCTCTACTGGCCAATGCTGAATTGGCCAGTTAAATTCTGGAACTGGATTTGGTAGTGTCATGGCTGGAGTAGTTCAAGAAAAACCTTCGGTAAAAGGTGGTAAAGCATTAGTGGTAATAGATGTAGACCAAATAAATTCTCCTATTCTTTACTTAGTAGTATATGATGTTTTTCGTTGGAATACTTGAGCCAATGCAGAAAGAGGTGTGGCTGGTTTAATCTTTTTAGATGATGTCACCAGTGTTCAAGTCAACTTCAATGATGCTCTTTTCTGCCTCACTGATGTCCTTTTGTACTTCAATCTTGTTATTATAGCCCATCCATACTTCTTCAATATTATTGTTGTAATCTCTCTGTACATCCCCAATGGTTTCATTGATCTTGTCTTCAGTCAGACTGATTTTTGTTTTTGATTTTCAAGCCTTTTTTAAATAGTACATCTCTTTTGTCTAATTTTATGTCCCATTCTTCCTGGTTTTTTCTTTAGTTTTCTGCATACATTTAATCTTGAGTTCTCTGAATTTCCATCTCATTCCTTCTGATCTTGTCTTAATAATTTCATCATTTCATGTAACACTTGAATCTCACTACTTAGCCTCACTGTTTCCATCTTCATCACTTGAGATTCCATTTCAAGTATTTTCTATGTTGTAATCAACTTCTCAAAATGACAACAGAAGGCATGATCACATAAAGCTGGATAGGTATAATAAATGTGACACATGAGTTATCATTAGTCTAGAAATCAACTTTTCAAAATGACAACAGAAAGCATGACCACATAAAGCTGGATAGGAATAATGGCTGTGACACATAGGTTGTCATCAGTTTAGAAATCAACTTCAGAAAACAACAACAAAAAGCATGATTACATGAGGCTGGATAGGTATAATAAATGTGACACAAGTTGTGATTATACTAGAGATCGACTTCAGAGAAAAAGATAAGAGAACACATGAGTAAGGAATAAAACTTTACTAGATTTCAAAAGTGTTAATGGCAAAGATAATGAAGCAGAAATAGATGTAACACAATGAAGATAAATGTCATATTATAGTTACTGTAATTGAGTTAATGATTATTCAACATTAGACACAAGTATTTGGATAGTAGAGTTATACACACATTTGTAAATTCTACTTCAGTAATTCTCCCATGTAAGTGTTCCATGTTGTTTTTGTACATATCAAACTTTTCTGTCAAGATCACTTTATTCCTTCATATAAAACAATTCCTTAAATTTAAGTTTTAAATGGTTTTTATATTTACAGACCTACGAAGCAGTGTGCTAGATAACTTTACATTTTCAGTATTATTTAAGATGTACTTGTCATATTTAGACATACAAATCACCCCACTATACCTGGATACTTACTCTGGTG